GGGTACGTACTTACCAAGAACACAAGAACATTCTTGCGTCCTTGAGTATTGAGAAACGGCCCTTTTCTGCTCTCGTGGAGCAAAACTTACCGTCGCCTGGCAACCGTTCCAGCCAATAGAATGAAAGTGCCATGCTGGGTGGAGGGGAGAGGGGAGGGTTGTTTCCTTCTAGTGGGTGTGTCTGTGTTTGCTATAGCAACCTGCGCCGCCCACTGGATGTAGGGAGAAACAACTTCAGCCTTCTGCTTCGTTACACAGACTTACAGGACAGACAGCAAGTCTGTGTTCTCTTCCTCACTAAATATCTGCCAGCAGTGCGCTACTGATCATTAACAGCCTGCTGATGTTAGGCAGGTGTGTTCACCCAACAAAAGAAAATGGACCTTGTTACCACTTAGTCAAGACATGCTATCTATCCAGAGAAAACGTATATATCTATAAACCTATCCATCATAGATAATACAGACACACAGGCAGCTGGATGACTGGATGGATGCAGCTGTGGGTTTTTAAGAATTTATGCTGTATATGGCATACATTTATATGTCTATGAACACAGGCCCCAGTATAACACTTTCATTCTATTGGCCGAGAGGTTGCCAGGCGACTGTGTTTCCAGCGCGAGCAGAGAAGTTAACAAGTGAAGATTTGATCCCAGAAAAATCCCCCCATAGTTGAACAGACTATGCGGAAGCATAGCTCACTCACTTAGCTCGCTAGCTTGTGTTGACAGCTGCACAATTAAACCGATTAGCATTAATAATCATAACAATAAGTAGCTAAACATGTTAAGATAGACATTTTACTTACCGCTCCTCTGCCAAAAGCCAGGATGAGGGCTAAATAGGCTGTACTTCAACATGGCCACGGCGATGTTGTAGCCATATGATTGGCTTGTAAGGTATACCCCCACGTGGGGTCCGTTCATATGATTGGCTGAAACAAGAAAGAGATCTGATTGGTTGCAGATCATTCTGGTTAAAAAAAAAAAGATGATCTTGACGAGTCTTAAAATTCACACACAAAAGCGCCAGGATAGCAACAGACCCGCAACACAGAAAGACTTCTCACTGTCCTTTAGGGTAAGATAATGAGAATGCTTTGAGGACTGAGAATCTTTATGAATAAATACCCAGATTTACAGAGTATAGTGTATAAACAACTTGTATGTAAACTTTAATTAAGGATTTTATTTCAGAAAAGGCGATATTTTACATATAAAATAAAACAGCAGTGATGTCAGAACATCATCTTTCTCTTCAAAAACAAACCAGCAACTCAAGAATAAAATAAATCCCAGCTAATAAGTAAATCACTGTAGAAAAATTAGTGTGAATTGAAACATGAAAAAAGTCAAACACCATTAAAATCTAAACTTTCCAGCTTTAAAATTCTGAAAAACTGTAATATGCTTTAGACTGAAATTTTGTATCTGAGCAACAGGGTGACTGCAGCTTTCTTATCTCACATGTTGATACTGCTGTTGATACGTAATCATAAGTTACTGATCGGCTTATTGGCATATTGTGTCTACATTTGTGAGTGTGAAAGTGCTTTGAGTTCTCAGTGTAACTGGGAGGAGATACAAAAACAGACTATTTACAATACAGCTGCTGTGAAGGAAGGAAACTAATGTTTCATTTTGTTTTTATAAGCTAAGTAAGATGTATATACTATGGTCATTTCTAATTGCCATGGAAAAAATATTTTCAAGCTCAAAAAAGTGCAGCTAACTGGAGTCATATTAATAATATTGGCAGGCTGAATTACACCTTAGTTACTTAGAATATCAACTAAACATGTTTTATATCTTTTGATTTGAAGATTTTATCAAAAATAAATTTTACTGTTTATTTATGACAAAAGATTCTCTTGATTTCACCGTTGAACCATTAACCAGAAAACAAAAATCTATGAATATAAAAGGAACTCTTTAAGAAAGTAATCTAGAGAAAAGTTAATTTTTTGGGAAATTAAAAGGTATAACATTTGTAACACTATTTATTTTCCCATAAACATTTGTTTTCATGTGATTTAACCAGCAGTTTCTCAAGAGAAGCTTTGTCAGTTAAATTTACATAAATGAAAAATATGAAGATTTCTGAAAACATTCCTATTTATATGATCTATTATCATCATATGGTAGACTATGTTTCTCCTTAATGATGAAAAATAAAACCCAAAAGCTTAGTTAAATAAACAAACAGTTCATGATAATTTAGTTTTAAAGTCAACTAGTTAACATGTGAAATAACTTACTGTTTGCCTGCCTTCATGTTCTCCAGGATAAAGGAAACATCTGTTGTTGGACATCAGGTTTATTTACAGCTGAACAAGCAAACACAAGGTGTTGGCTAAATTTTACGTTAGTAAATATATAATTCCTTTGTGAGCTAGTTCAGATTAAATTATATAGAATAGACTAATTTTACTTACGAGGTGGAGGAAGTTTGGCTGAAATTAAAATTATATAAAATTTTACTTAATACACTCAAAAATTTTCTCTATTTTATTTGTCTGGTTTACACAGAAAAATTATTAAATTTTTTTGCGATGCATCAAAGCACCACATCAAAGTCATGTTAAAAAAGAAAAGAATAATGTTTAGATCTCACCTTTTTTATTTTTGTAAATAATGAATCCAATCACAGCAATGGCAGCAACAACAACAACTTCAACAATAATTAGGATGATTATAACAATGGAATTTGCTGTGGTGATAAAAAGGAAAAATTAATGTAAATGATTAGTAAAAAAATCTTCACTGCGTCAGTAAATGTGTGAGATAGTTTCTAGTGTGTATTTGAGCTGCACGCTATTAGGAAAACATGTATGTTGATAAAATTGGTGCAGTAAATATGATTTGTAATTATTAAAATATTTAAATCTGTTACTTTCTTTTGTCTTTCGGTTAAAAGCAAACCCAGATAGTGATGTCTCTGTCCAGGTATTATAAAGAACATTTATTTTTACATCACAACAAGAAAACTTTGCATGCTGTTTTTTATGTATCTTAACATATTTACTAGTTTCCACCCATTTAGCTGGAGTCTGAAATAATTCTACAACTGAATAAATATAAAGAAACGCAAACTGACAAACGTGGGTTTCCAAACCTTATTCTTAGTTTTACATATAAGAGATAAAAATCTATGTTTTTGTGAAATAATTTTGTTGATTATAACTTTGAATTTAGTCCAAGTCCTTGATTATTTTGGTTTTTAACTTATTGAGAATTCAGTTAAAAAAATGAAGAAAATAGATATTATAGAACCAGACCACACTAGGCATAAGGTTTTTAATCAGAGCCATGTGTAAATGATAAACAAACAAAAACAAATGGTTTGAAACTAGTCTATTTTTCTTTATAAACAAAATGGTTGAAATAATTACTGTCTTTTAAAGAAGTTCCTGTTCAAGTTTTCTAAATTTTGAAATTGTGGTTAATCCAAAATGATCCAGATGATAAAAAGTAATGAAAAGTTGATTGTTGAATCAAAACCTACGGAGTCCTCCAGGGGACATGGGATTTTTTTTTCTTTTGCGTTCCCTCGCAAAAGGTTTTGCGTTCCCTTGCAATAATCGACTGATCAGTTCTTGCAGCATAATTGATACTGTAAGCCTTTCTTACGGTGGCCGCTGTACTTTCTGCTTTAATACAAGGTTATGTAAGGCTTTTCCATGGACTATTTCTGAGTTATTATTGCAGGGTAATAAGTCATCTGATCGTGTCTCTGTTGTGTTCGTCTGAATGGTTTAAAGTGCTGCTTTCAGTCCCGTTCCATCTTAGCCTTAACAGACATAAACATGCAGTAAATAAATCGATTTTCAATCAGTTTTTTGCACCAAAGCGTTAATAATAATAAACACGTTTTCACTGAGGCTCTATAAACTCAGATAATCCACATTATAATGAGGTCGTTAGCAGGACTCTGGAGAACCTGACTGCACTTAGGAGGTGATTCAGCTGTTGGATCCAGGTGTGTTGGACCAGGGAGACGTCTAAGAGTTGCAGGACACCGGCCCTCGAGGACCAGGATTGGCCACCCCTGTGTTAGAGTTTCCTCCTCCCAGTAATGTGAATTATCTGAGCTAACATTGTTCATCCAGTCCTGTTTAGGAATGTTTCTGTTGTTTCTGCTGTCACAGTAACTGATCTGAACATCATCCAGAAAACCAGCAGACATGTACGATGGGACGTCTGGTAATCCTGAAGATGCTGAGTAGAAATACCTCAGAGAGTGGACCACTGTAATAAAAGACTCACAACATAAGTGGGTTAAAATTGAAGCAGTATTAAAACCATTAACTAATGTGTGTTTAATGGGTCCCTGCTGATCATGTTCACAAAAATATCCAGTATTTAAAAATTCATTTCAAACACACAAAAACACCAGATTATATGTGCATTAAAGGCATCTGGGTTTCTTTAGAAGTTTTGAATATTTCTGCAAAGTGGAAGCGCAGTTTGGTTTCTAATTGATAAATAGGTTTTCAACACACATTGCTGGGTAACACTTTATTTGAAGGGGGTGAATAAGACTGTCATGAACATGAATAAGCCTTCATGAATATTTATTTATGACTGTTGTCATAAAGCGTCATTCGGTAAATTATGACACTTTTATTACAAAGTTAACATTATTCAAAATGTCTTTATGACAACTTGACATTAACCAAGAAATCATTACTGTTTAAACTTTACCTTTAATAACATAAAGTTACCTAATTTTTAAAGTGCAATCAGTAATACTTTTATAACAAATTTATATCAATAATGATTTCTTGGTTAATGTCAAGTTGTCATAACAAAGACATTTTGAATAATGTCAACTTTGTATTAAAAGTGTCATAATTTACCGAATGACGCTTCATGACAAGAGTCATAAATATTCATGAAGGCTCATTCATGTTCATGACAGGTGTTATGTCATGTTTATGACAGTGTCATGACAGTCTTATTCAAATAAAGTGTTACCCATTGTGGTAAAAAAAGCATTTGTCCCCTACTTTTGCTTTCGCTTCTTTTTAAGGAAAAAAGTTATACAGTTATACATACCTGCATTTTTTTTTATATTTTCATCAAGTAAAGCACTTTTGAATCATCTTTCCACTGGAACGTGTTATGCAAATAAATCTGCCTTACCCTGGTCAGGTCTATTAAAGAAATTAGCTGGAGAATATGGATATTACATGAAAAACTTAATTAAAACTCAAAATTTAGTTAAATCTGGTGATTTTTGTAGTAGTCAGTTTTTATAACAATGTAGACCCATCTTCTCCAATGTGCATGAATGTACAATAATCAGATATGAATGAGCACTTTATTTAAAAACAGCAGAAATACACAAGAGATAAAAACAACAGTGTAACAAAAAGGTAACTAGGCTGGACATCAGTGTCAGGTTTTGACATAAAAATACGTCTTTTCAAGTATTACTGCTATAAACATAATCAAACTATTCAAAAGTGAAGTTTTTGTGGCATAGAATTTTATTTTCAGTGTTTCTTTGCTAAAATGTGATATTCCTCAAAAATGGTACTGTTTTCTGTTTTTATATCAAGATTTTTAAAATTAAATTTGTACATGTTCACTTAAACCTTATATGAATTTCAGTTAAATAAATTCCTAGAGATGATTTGTTTTAAATTGTTAATAGTTAAAGGTGATGGAGTTTATCCTCAACTTGGTGCCTAAATGCCAACCTGAAAAAAAGAAAGATAATCAATTAAAGTGACCAAGTAAATGTAATAAATTCAATTCATTTTATAGTACTTTCCACATAGTTAAAACATTTCAAATACTTTCTCAGTCAGCAGAATGTTTAACATTACTTTACTATGTATTTTAATGAAGTTATCAAATAGGTTCAAATACTACTGCAATGTGGTACATTTATTTAGAAAGAACTTTAATATGTTAAAAATTATGAATGTTATAGATATAGATATAGGAAATACTAACTAAGAAAGTCTGGTAAAACCAAGTTAACCTGAATAGTAATTTATTGGATGATGCTACAGATGTAAAAGAGGTGGGAGTAAAAAGACTTTTGTACTTCTACCCACTTTGAATGTGTAAATATAATTTACTACTGTTTCTTCTTTTGTTTGCCTTTGTGTTAAATTAATTTGATTGTATTTAACTTTGTTTATACTTTTATTATACTATGTTTAATAAAGTCAAGCTAAAATTTCAGCTACTTTATGATTTAGAAAATAACTCACTGTTTCCATATCTTCATCTTATTTGAAGCATTTGTTGCTCAGGTTCATTGTATAGTAAAGCTGTAAGTCACACAGTAAACTGTTAGGAAAATTCAGCTTTATGCCGCAGACAGAAAACTGGTGAAAAGGTTCTTAAGATCAAACTACAGAAACTATTTATCAAATAACTAGATCAGAGTATTTTAGACGCGTTTTACTCACGAGATGGACGACGCTTGACTGTAAAAAAAATAAAGAAAAGCAGTTTGAGCTGTTTTAGTAAAAACTGAAGAACAGTTTTGTGATTTTCTTGTAATCAAAAAATGTGTGCTTTTTTTACATTTAGATAAATATGAAGCTCTGAAAAAACAAAAGAGCCCACTGCACTGAACCTCATTGAAAACCTCATGGTTGTTCAATCAAATATTGATTTCTGAACTCTTCCTGAGTTAAAACATTAGTTTTGTTGTTTCTAAATGAATATGAACTTGTTTTCTTTGCATTATTTGAGGTCTGAAAATGCTGCATCTTTTTGTTATTTTGACCATTTCTCATTTGCTGCAAATAAAAACTAAATTTTTGCTTTGAATTTCGAAGACATGTTGTTAGTAGTTCATAGAATAAAAGAACAATGTTCATTTTACTCAAACATAAACCGATAAGTAGCAACATCAGAGAACTGATCATTTTGAAGTGGTCTCTTAGTTTTTTCCAGAGCTGTATATTTTTTTTAGCTTAGCTTAAAATATAAAATAACAGAAAACAAATTAATTGATTTCTCACCCTTTCTGATGTAAGAAATGGATCCAACCAGAGCAACAGCTAAAACAATTGCTAATGCAACAGCTATGATTAAAGGGAGTGTCAGCACATTTGGCTTTTCTGTGGAAAAGAAACAAATACAAATCTGCATATTAAATATTCATTTTACTGAAATTAAGTTACAATGAGTAAGACTATTCTTAGTCCATGTATGTCGCTTAGCTGTTGGTAATAGAGTCTTACTACAATATAATTATGTAACTATTTTGTCTTAGGGTTAACATTTAATCTGATCTGGGCCACAAAGGAACTTATGATGCTGCTCTAGAAGTAAAAATGTTTGCAACATCAAAAATGTATATTTCTGCGTTCCTTTATGGAAATATGAAAACCTACAGCACCTCACTATGGCTTATTTTATAAAACATTTCCCACTTCTCATGTTATTCTCACCTTCTACATTGGTCCTGATTTTTGATTTTTCCAGTCTGTTGACAACGTCACACTTGAATCCAGAGAGATGAAACACACATTCATACTTTGTCCAGTCATCAGGTGGAACAGATGAAAGATCTAAATCAACACTAATCTGGAAGGTTCTGTCATTATTGGGGAGGATTTCTCCTTTATTCACACCAGCATGAATCTCCTCTTCATCTTTCCTCCAGAACATCTCAGCTCTGCTGGGATAGAAACCTGTAGCGAAGCAGCTGACTGGAGAGGATGGAGACTTCTGGAGGAAAGATACTGAGGGAACATCTGAGGAGAAAAAAAATATATTGCAATGAGACAACCATGTATTTTGAATACTGCAGAATTTTATTATATTTACAACATAATGTTAGTTAAAAAATGACAAGGATTTAGAACTAAAAAGTTATGAAAACAAGACGCAAAACACACATAAGGACCTAAACACAAACATAGA